AAAAGCCCAATCCTGGCGCAATCCAAGAGCAATCCAGATTTTCCCCAGTGTAAACCTACCTTTATCAGTCATCAGAACAACAATGCCAGAGTTTATTGGGTAATTTCAAGCATCAACTGTTACGCTGTCACCATAACACCTAATCTTCCAGCAATAAAAACACTGGGGGGACAGCATACTGTCTTACGTGGTAGACAGACTAGCTAAATCTCTTCTCCGGGGCTAAAACATAAAAGACGCAGGGATACTATTACTAAACGTACAAGGTAGTTTGTTGTCTGTATTGGGCCGTCTTAAAAGGTTAACGTTCAGATGAGATCTATTGCAAACTGTTGTGACAAGCAAGCTAAATCCCAGCGTTTTAGATTCTGAGGTACAATTACCAAGTACCAGGTACAAAGTGGCATCCACATGCTGGCACGCACGCATACATAAACAAAAGGATACCCATAACCCACACTCTGGCACTTTCACGTACACAAACAAAAGGACACAACCCACATGCTGGCATGCACACATACACAAACAAAAGGACACAACCCACATGCTGGCATGCACACATACACAAACAAAAGGACACAACCCACATGCTGGCATGCACACATACACAAACAAAAGGACAACCCACATGCTGGCATGCACAAGTACAGAAACAAAAGGACACACCATGCACACGCTGGCACGCACACATACACAAACAAAAGGGCACAACATATAACATAGAAACCATTTTACATAAATTTAAAAACAAAACCTGAAGTATAATATATATGTCAAGAAGACAACTTGTTTCCTATTCCATACCTGTGTACAATGTTCATTAACATTCAGTCCTAGACATGACTTTTCATGTAAGTTTATTCTGTTCATCATTTTAACAAGATAATGCTAAATGTCAGTGCTGCCCCCCCCCCCCCCCCCAAATTTTTTTTTCTGACAATTATTATTTTCTTTCCTATTTTTTCTTGGAGGTTTGGACACTAATCTAAACAGAAACCTCAACCAATGAAAATAAATTTTCACAGTATCCAAGTGTCCTTACCCCCAAGTAATGAATTCTCACTACCTAATCTCTATCTCTCTCTTCCCCCCCCCCCCCCCTCGGTCTCCCCCTTGCATTCTTTAATTTATCACAGGTGTAACACTAGTCCTGCCCTAACCTGCCCCCTACTGACACAGCCACAGAGGAGGGAAGTCTGCCTTCCTGAAGAAACTGTCAGCTTTGTTTAGTCTGCTTAAGGTTAAAAATCCATTGACTTATGTACTCCCAAATTCTGAATTCCTAATTCCCAGCTTTCTCTCCAGTTAAGTAGGTGTAACTTTATACATATGTGCCAGGGTGCTTTGATTTGTGAAAATTAGGGTCTATGAATTAGTATCAGCTGAATTTTTACATTAAATAGCATATAAGTTGTAAATCATTTTTACCTTCTTAAATCACTCATTTTTTCCACAAAGTAAAATATGGCATTTCTCTATTATCCTTTGAATGAACATCCACTGAGTAAGCACTTTTTAAGTTGTTTGGGTTTTTGATGATTGCACTTACACAGAGAATTGGGTAGAATTACAACCAATATTTTAGTTTTCAATACATCTGCTATTAACACCTTTTACTATGATGTATGTGGCACTTTTCCCCTGTAAAACATTTGGAATCTCTGATGAATCTATTACACAACAGCGTAAAATTAAGAACAACTGGTAGAACTGCTGACAAGAGACACAGATGCTCTCTCTCTCTCTCTCTCTCTCACACACACACATACATATCCTCTCTCTCTCTCTCACACACACACATCCTCTCTCTCTCTCTTACATACACACACATGCACACACACACACACACACACACACACACACACACACACACACTCTTTCTCTCTCTCTCTCTCAAACATACAAACCTCTTAAAAAAGCCTCAAATTTCCCATAACCTTACCTGTCTGACCTGTCACACCCCCCTCCACCTATGAAATAGACAACCGCAGAAAGTATAAAACCTCGCCTAAATTCCCCGTTAATCCCACCATCGGTACACGTCTCCGTCTCCGCTTTATCTCAAACTTGCCCTCAAAAACACATCCCCCTACACTGCGGCAGTACGTAATTTGAACGCTTCCAGAGCTTTAGCTATGTCTACCCAACATGTACACCCCATTAGGTAGCGGCCCTTTCAAGCCTTTCTCCTCAAATAACTAGGAAATAAATGGAATGTATTCAAGGTCACGAGCGTAAACAGTGACAAATAAACAATTCAACAATTCTATTACTGACCATAAACATGGAAGTTATTCTCTCATGTATTATAATCCTGTGCTCTCATTATATACTGTATATATTTAATATATATATAGTATAGGTGCTGCACTCTTTTCTCCCCCGTTGCATGATGGAAAGACTTCACCTAAAGGCAGTCTGTCCCTTCCCCCTTTTATTCAACCTGGTACAATATGCTCTTTTTCTCTAAGTTTTAATCCAGTGTGTTTGTGTTATATTTCATAGGTGCTTTTGTCTCATTTAGCTTGAAGCCCTGACCCAGGCCTCTTTGTATTCTGCTTATGCTGAAAATATGCTGTCTACCCCTTTAATGATCAGGTATATATTAAAATATTTATTCTGTAGAAAGAAACAGTTCTCCATTTCAGCGTTGTGGTAAAGAAAATTAAAATCAAGTTATACGTTACTTTCTTCCAAAAATGTCACGGTTATAATGAATTTAATAGATATAGTAAGGTTTTCTTCCGAGGTTTTCTTCAGAGCAAAAATGATGCTCCAACTATTTTGAATTAGCATACACATTAAATCTTAGCTGAAATCTATACTCATACATTGTACATAACCACCACAGCTGTGGTCTGTTCTCTAATACAGAGAGATAGATATTTATATACTCACCCCTTTTAACTATTTTCCTTTTTCTCCATGTTTAAAGCTGAACTCAACTGTTACAGCTACAAATTTTCAAGTCTGGCAGTCATTTCCATGGCAACTGGTGCTAAGCTTAACTGGTAGTCTGACTGAGGGGGACTTAACCTCTTTTTACACAGATATACTCTTACCCTTTAACTTTTCTTCCCTTAACAATGCATCTCAGACTTAATCCATCTGTATTAGCTTCATTCAGTCCCAGAAGAAATTCGGTCACTGGCGGTGCTAGGCTCACGCTATGCAGGGTAAAAATTGCTCCTTTTGACGGATGTAAAAATTAACCGCTACTTGCTCCTAATTTCTATCATTCATTTATCTTTCTTTTCTTTTTTGCACCTAACAATCAGTTAAGGCTTAATCCAACTGTTTAAGTTAGAAATAGAAACCTGCCAGTCATTTGTGTAACAATTTGATTCACATACTACCAATACCCAGCTGGTACAGTAACAAAGAAAAAAAAAAGACTTCCCTTTTTCCACAGGTAAAAACTGTCACTTACCCCTCACTTTTCTCTTTCACAGTAAATAAAGACTTAATCCACTTTAGTTACAAATGGAAATCCGCCAGTCATTTCTAGGACAACTTGTTCCAAATAAGCAGATGGTACTAAGTACCAAAGGAGTAATTTTTTTTTTTTAGAAAAATACAAAGTTACAAAGTTGAAAGATTACTCCTCCCTCTTCATAAATAATGACTAAAAAATGTGACGTCTCCATGCTCACATGGGAAAAAAACTGGCTAATACTAGTAAGGCACGTCACGTCACGCCGAATAAGATCAGATTTACCTTTAAGATAGTTGAATCATTCACTAATCACTTAACATGCGATTCAAAAGACATTTAATTAAGAAATCAAACTTGGAATTGTCTCAGCACAATCTTAAATGGTCATAATTTATTTTATTGACATAGTAAACATTTCTTGTAGTAAAACCATCACCAGACAGGAAGAAGAGTGTGAGATGATAAAAGTCTGCAAAGCAGGAATACAAATTTAAAACTAAGAAATGGTACCATAGGCTTAACACTTAACTCTATCAAGGACTCTGTACAGTCAAACCATTCAAACTTACTAATCATACTAAATCTAAGAAATATGAATAAATCAAGCATACAGGATTACATTCCCAGACCCAAAAATGTTTTAAGATGACTGTCTGTTTTCATCTCAGTCTGATGTTCTACAGTTAAAGTGATATACTGCCTGACACTGTGAATTATGTGGTCGCATGCTCTACCAGTAGCAGAAGGGGATGTGAGCCACAATGATTACAAAGAGGCAAGGGACTTTATATCTAAATTATCACAACAGTGAAGAGGCTGGGGTAGCGCTAACACTTGCTAATTTAGCCAAATGCTAAAACTGACTTAAATTGGCTAAACAAAATAGGGTTGATTTGATTTGTTTAAGTCAAATTCAAAGCATAGGGAGGAAAAAGTGATGAAAAAGGTAGTGATTTGGCTAAGTGAAAAAATGTGCTAGCGCTTCCCCAGAGAGGAATTGAGTGGGGCGGGGGGGGGGGGGGGGGGGCATACCAGCTCTCAGATTTCTGTTAAAGCTTACAGAGGTTTGCAAATTTCTTTTTACAGATGTCTGCAATCAAATTAATGGTATTGCATTATATGACCACAACAAATAGAACAAATTTTGCAAAATCTCCAGTGGAAAATAGATTCTTATTATAAGCCTCTGTCTAAAAAGAGATTTTCCAGCAGGAGCCAAGCCTATATTGATGAATTTACTGTAAATTTGGGACAATTTAATTATCAACATAATGTGTGATGATGATACATAATACAAAATACACTCCAATGCTGGGCATTTTTAATTACTAGTCTGTCCAACATGCAGAAACTATAGTTACATTTTAGCAAATTTCTTTTACTTTCGTTTTATTTGATTCTTTTATTTTTTAAAATTTATATTATTTCCAAGCTGAAGTCCTTCCAAAACACTTTCTCAAAATATCCCACGTTCTTAAGAGTCAAACATTTCTGCACCAAAGATCTACTTGACAGATGAAGGTTTCACATTTTTCAGTGACTCTGAAGTAAGTGCACTACTTACTTTTGCTCCATCTGCCTCAGTAACGCCATCTTCAGTTGTTTTCCCAAAATCTAAAGGTGGCGGTAGAATGGTGACAGGGTATAAATAGTTCTCAGGTTGTTCAGTGGGGACAGGGGGCGGAACGTTCTCTGCCTCGGCCCCCAGGGGCTGACCAACCAACCCTACAAACTGACTGTCTATCGTCTCTTTCAAGGCAACAACGGGAGATCCATGAGCACCTCCTCCGCCTCGTGAGGAATTAGATGAGTTGAAATTGGCCAATGAGAAACTGCTTAAAATACTGGTGTTGGATTCTCGTTTAGTGTGTAAGTCCTGAGATGCATTAGCATCGTCTCTTGTCTCACCGAGTCTCCGTTTTTGATTCACTGCTATTTTATCCGAAGCGTCTTGACTAGGTTTACTTTCACTGTTGGCAATTCCTGGTGAAGAAATCATGGCCGCTGATGGTGGGCGCACTGAAAAAGTCCCATTTGCGGAGTCAGCACCTGCTATTGGGTCTTTGTGCTTTGCCTTGTTTGCAAAATGCTTCGCCTGGAAAGGAAATTAAAAGAAAATGGAATAAATTTTCCACCAAACATACAATTATATTTATTTCAGGCTGATACATTTTCATAACAACTCTATATATCCTGAAAAGACCCAATGCAGTTTTAGGTCAGCCATATAATTGCAGCGGGTCACAGAATTTTTTCCTCTTTATCTGAAGTTCAGCATAATGTGTTAAAGACAACAGTTATTTCCTGTTAAAGGTGTGAAATTCCCAAGGAGGTTAGTATGACACTTGACAATAAATGTATGCAAAATACAGGCATATTTTAAGGCAAAGGATTTTATCAAGACAAGTCTAAACTTAACAACTTATATACTTGCAAAAAAAAAAAAAAGAAAAAAAAGACTTAACACCTTCCGTCACAGTTTCTTTTAAAGATGACTTGGGCTTTTTTCAAAGCTGGAATTCAGTTTGAAGTTGCATGTCTTATTGTTTGACTCGACAGGTCTTATTTAACTTGTTACAAGCAACTTGTAGAAGTTAATTTCCCCACTCAATCTATGGTGTGAAAGATAAGAAGCATTCCACACCTATTCTAACAATGGGTTATTCATTTACATTTTGGTGGAGTTTCTGACCTTATTTGGAAGGTTATTTACCCACTTTTTAAAAGAAGAATTTGGACTATTTCTATAGCTATTTAAGAGAATATGTTTGCAATCTCTTTTTGTTCATTTTTTCCTATTTTTTTTAGTAAGAGATCTAACTTTAAGCATTGACCATTTTACTTGTGAATACATATGTAGGTCTAAGGCAAAAATTCCCATGCTCAAAATAACTGCAAAGCCTAAGGTGAAATGTACTTTATATGAAGGAAAACAGGACCAGAAAAGCAGGAACTGCACAGGATAAAAAAATAAACCAAAAAGCAAAATATTAAATATTACTACCATCTACAAGAAATATTGTTTGGACGCTGGAAAAACACCATGCGTTCTTCCCTTAAAAAAGAAAAAAAAAAAATTGGATCCATAAAGAATTATGACAATAAATAAATAAATAGATACTGTTCAACCTCAAGAACTTTCAAAGGAGATAGCAAAGATTTCCTGCTCCCTCTTCATATTACTGAGACATTCTAATTTCTAATTTCAAACAAAATTTGCATAAATTAATTCACAAAGGACCAAAGCTAATCATTCACTAATTAGAACAATTAGGAATATCATCCGATAACTTCCCTGATGAGCACAAACTATGCCATATCAGTCTTAATTGTTTAATAGCATGCCAGACCATGCCTAATGATTAAATACCTCCTAGATTATTATGCTAGCATGTCATATATCACTTCCTTAGTGATAAGATTATAATCCTCTGTGTGCCAAGACTTGAGTGAAAAAAATTTCAAGATTTTCACCACTCCCCCCCCCCCAAATAAAAAAAAAAAAAAAAAAAAAATATATATATATATATATATATATATATATATATATATATATATATATACTCACCCTTCTTTGGTAATATTTCCTGGGCTTTTTCAAAAAGTACACATAAACATAGTTATCTAAATAGTCCATATTTTCTGAGGGTAAATTAATCCCGTACTGAAGTCTGCTCATATTGTCAAAAGGTTGAGAACAGATGGAAGCTTCGCTCATATTACATACAAATACACACAATGATGCCAGCTCAATTTTTTCTTCCTATTTTCAACCAGACCAATGGCCTGCAGTCATTCTCTTTAAAATAATAACAAAAAACTCTCCTAATTTTCTGGTCGCCCTGTGGCCCTCCTTCCTTTTTCTTTTCCAAAGAAGAAAATTGCAGTGTAAGTGATGATTTTGATGTTGGTTTTTCTGTAAGAAATAACTCTGGCTAGTATAGTCCCTGCTTGCTCTGTGTGTTAGAATTTTTTCCTAGGGTATTGTCCAGAAATATTTCTAGCTAGTCACCTTTGGTATAGCTTAACTGCAGAGTAACATATATCTTCCTATGCCTTGTGCTCTTCCTTTCTTTTTCAAAGAGGAAAATTAGGATATAAGTCAGTAGTCTGCAGCCACAAGTCTGCTGAGAATTGCCCAGTGACAACTAAGAATATATTTTCTTATCAACAACAAAAATTGGTCACATCACCAGCTTTTAAAGGCTTCCACCCTCAAAATTCCAAACATAAAAGAATGCCTTGACTCTTATAAGATATCTACCAGTTTTTACCACTTGCTGCATCATTTCAAGTCAAGAGTTCCTTCAATTCCACATCAGAGTATAAACAGTACAGATCTCAAATACACAGAGCTCTACTACTTCCCCCACTCTGACAAGCATACCTCACCATTACACATTGTCTGAATATTTTGAAAATGACCCCTTTCCAAAAAACATATCCAATTTCTCAATCCAGATACTTTGTGGTATTGAGGGAATGAAAAATTCACTTCTTCAAGGAGAGAATGTTCAAAGAAACAGAATCTTTGTATGGTCTTGGTCAGAAAGAATGAAAAATGGGCTCACTTCATGATTCAGAAGGAGTCAGTGGTGGTCTCTGGGGTGAATTCCGGAAAAAGCTCTTTCATTCACAGTAGCAAATCTTCAAAACCTCATGTCCAGAGCACATGCAATAAACCAAATAAAGTCGTTTTCTCTTTTTCCAGCTTAAAATACTTTGTGGTTATTACTTCAGGTCCAATATTAAAAGAAACACCAACCACTACTACAGATCTTCAAACTGCCCTCTTTTGATACACTTTTTTTTTGTCATCATCGAGGCAAATTCTTAAAACTAATCCATAGGCTGTGCATATCTCTTCAATATCAAATTCCAAGATGATATAAAATCCATAAAAAAACTCCTCAAAATGCTGCAATTTATCAAAGACAAATCCCTACTCTGAATTCCTTCTCGGTGAATGAAAATAATAGACTCAATATTATCAAACAGTGCTGTTCAAGTGTCTCCGTAGCAATCCCAAGATGGTGACTCTATCTTGCACTGTCCTGCCCTGTGGAGGCACCAAGCTGTTTTGGGGGTTACTGTATATGAGAAGTGGTCTTTATGAAAAGCTTTTCCTGTCTTTCAGTGAATTCTTTTAGCATATCACTTCAAATATCCTGGGTAATGTCACAACATACGGATCAGGTTTTACACCACAGCTGTTCTCCTTTCTGATTTTTTCTTCTCCCTTTTTTTCTTCCACTCTTTTTTTTTCTTTGTGGTTCAACAATGCGACATAACCATCACTGGAAAAGAGAATGTGATAAAATCACTCCTCTCCTTTCTAATGTCAACTAAATAACGGAACACTTCACAGATAGAACTTTTTTCAGCTGTTCATCAGTTTAAATATCAGAAATAAAATGCCGACGGTAAACTTTACATCAAGTACTGGACATGCATGAAACTTTCCCCAAATCATGCATAGACACCTGTATCAAAAATTAGTGCCATTTTCTTATTAGCCATCATGCTTTCTTCAGCTGAATTCCACACTTTATGTTCAGCCAAGAGAGTAAACAGATACCCTTACAGTCATTAAACAAGATGGAATATCTCTCTTCCAATTGTTGTCTCTTGGCTAGCGTTTTTCCTTAACACACACACCAATCTCCAATTACAGAAGTCTTTTATCCCCGATTTAATTTGCACTCCTGCAGACCCTTTTCTCCTTCAGAACAATTATGCAGAATACTGTGCATTTAACAGATCTTTCTTCCTGGGATACTTTCCTCTTCAATAATTCATATTTATCATCATCACATTCAATGCACTGTCACTGTCACTGTCCATTCCTTAAGCTTCCACGGTATAAAAACCTTGAGGGCAGTAAAAATACACCACTTGGTCAAAATCTTACAGGTCTCCAAGAAATATCACAGCCTATATATATAAATTTTCAGTGCATTTTCTCTTAGCCTTCAATTGACAGTGTTCCAAATCAGAGTGACTCCTTATTACTGAGAGTATTTAAGTCGGCTTCTTTCTACCACTGTATTCTTCCTCACTTGCAGACTCCTAACATTCTCTCTGCCCAGTGATTTTCAGTTCCCAAAATATATCCTAAAGTGACACAAAAGAAATCCACAAAAACCTAACTGCCATGACAGATCTTTATGTCCTCTCCACACATGAAAATCACCATCAGTCCTCTTCACCCACCCTCTCCTAAAATGTCTGTGCCTTATGGTCAAGTTGATGGGCTATCACCTCCCACAGTGTTACTGTCCACTGACTGGTCATTCATCACATGGTTTAATGCTGTGTGGCCAGTGGGCAGTGAAATACTTTGGACACTTCTCTTGTACATGAAATACTGCCAACACACGACAACCTTCTACACTTGTTCTATAGCGGCTAAGACTTGGTTTAATGACTTCACATTGCATCTTTTTTTAAAATCTTAAATATAGATTGCATTCAAATTATTGGGTCCACAGCATGCATTCCTTGTGATCAATCTTCTAAGACTGTTAATTCTTATTGAAGATTCAGACAGAACTTCTACATCTGAGGCTCACTTGATTAGAAATGATAGCAAAAGACCTCATACTGATATGAACCACAAGTCACAATTACACAGAACATGAACATGAGTAAATAAGTACAATTAAAACAATCCTATTGTAAACCCGAACCTGGACCGTTTCAAAGCAGATCTTAACAAGTGCAGTGTGAACATAGCCAAGGAGCTCTGCACATCAAAATTCTACAGATACAGGCATTATGTTATCTTCCCCATCAACATGAGAAAGCTTTCACTCTCCATCTCCTCCTCAAAGGAAACAGATGCTGGCTAAAGATATCAAATTATGCAAAGTCTTCTGTGATTGTCACATTGAATAGGTAAAGTTATTATGATATTACATAAATCTTGTATGGCTGTTACAGCACAAGGGAGACACTATTGAGGTTTTCCTGGGATGGGTGGGTGGGGGGTGCGGGGGGGGGGGGGGAGAGTAT